AGAGTGGATTGGGGAGGAAGCTGTTCCCACACACAGAAGTGAAGGATGAGTGGTACTCAAGAAAGGGAAGAGGGTGGGCCAGGACCTCCCAGGGAACACACCCTGGCCAGGTGTGAATGAGGATGTCATGTTCAGAATGGTGAGAGGACCCCTCATGTCACCAGAGCAGCCACTAAGTTGCCCCTGCCACATTTCGGAGCTCAAGACATACTCGATGAACTTTTTAAATCATGAAGTCTGCCACCATCAAATCCCCTGGGGAACCTGATAAAAAGACTTGGAGCCTAAACCCACCCAGAAGCTATGACTGAGTGAAAGCACCACTGGTGATTTGAAGGAAACAACCAATAATGGGCAGCAACTTGGCGCTGGCCATGGTGGGGGGAGGGGCTACCAGAGGCTCCATGAATCCTGCTGGGGCTACCATGTGTGAGGCACCATCAAGCGCATAAGCACAGGAGAAGCAGCTGACAGAGGTCAGCAGTGGATGAGAGTACCCATCCTGCAGGCAGATCCCAGGGTGCAGCAGGAACAGTGAGAGAAGCCCCCTCAAGGGTATTCGCCTAAAAGCAGCCTGGAGCAGCTCTTGGATATACCCCTACTGATGGACACGGGAGAGAAAATGTCTCAGTATCTGCCACTGGCACGCTGTGAACATTTGCAGCTCAAACGCACCCAACACCTTTCTCAGCCTGCTCACAGACAGGTCTCCATTTCAAGCTGATCCTCACTGTCTGCAAGGATCTCTGCACTCAGCCACTGACCATCCTCCAAGCTCCTCCCCCGGCTCTGGCAACTTTCCATGGCCCTGTCTGCCAGTCGCCCACTCTGGAAATGGGGGAGCCAGATGGTTCTCTCCTGGCAGGAGGACACAGGTGTCCAACCTGCCCTCATCTGATCAGATGTCCCTCCATGGGGTCTCATCTGTATGAGTGACTGGATGGAACAGGGGCCATGGAGAACTCACCAGGCTGATGCCAGGGGCGGCAACTCCAGGAGCGTTCATGCCAGCAGTCACAGCTGTCGCCCACTGGCAGCGGTGGCAGGGTCTCTCCGGAACTCACCTAAGGAGCCAACCAAGCATCGTCCTCAGGCCTGCCAGCTTCTGGGGTCATCTTCAGACCTTTGCCCTCCACCCTTCCCAACAGCAGCTCATTAATTCTCTTTTCTGCTTAAATAAATCAAAGCCCATTTCAATCATTAAGAAACACTGAAGCTCTTTCCTGAAGTCATCATTAAACTAGAAGTCTTACCATCTATGACTTCAAAAGCATGGGACACGTCTCAGCCCCTTCTTGGACCAATGCAGACTCCACTGTGAGTTGTGTAATAAAAACTAGAGAGACGCAAAGCCAATTCTTTTGCAAAAAGGTGCCTTCTTCAAAGGTTCAACCTTGACAAAATGCCTGCAGCCTGGACTGTGGTTTCCACAGACCTGGGCCACGCTGCATGACAGATCATTCAGCCAAGTTGCTTTTGAGTTCTGAAATGAGCAGACTGCCTTTGTTGAAGGACCCCTTGGCATGAGAACGCACATTTAAGCGTATTAAGTATGCTGGTTGCCCAGGAGGAGTGATGTAATTGTTGCAGCTGCACATGGAAGCACAGAGGTGAGTCTGAGTAGACTGCACCAGAGGAAATCAGGCTGATTTCTTGTACATAGCAAATGACTGAAGGAATTGGGTTCTGTCTCCACCTGCCTTTCAAAGAAAAACCTTTATTAACCTAGAGTTAAATAACCCTCCCCTAACCAAGCCTCTCACACATAGCGAGACCCGCAGCCATTTCAAATTGCCCTTTCCCACCGAGTCACAGGAGTCCAGTGAAGTGGGCAATTTTTGATTCTTTTTTCTTCAGCTATTTTTCACTGACCGTCTCAGATAAGAGAAACTAATCGGCTCGATTCAATAGTGAGTCTTGTGATGGATTTTCTGTTTCTAATAAAATTTGCTGTCAAGCTACTCTGGCAGTTCTGTTTTCATTAAAGGTCATCCAGCAAGTGGCACAGTGACAGCTACTGGCCGGAACCCCTGTGCTGTCTCCAGCATGATTCGTGCAGTGACACCTGGTGGCCAAGATGTGTCCTTGTCCTGAAAAGGCAAGCCAAGTGCGTCCCTGCTGCTGTGTGCACGCATGGAGGGGGCAAAGGAGAAGACAGAAGCCCCGGAAGGCAGAAGTCCTAAAGACAACCTCCCCTCATTTCACCTGCTCACCTGTCAAGATCCAGTCCCTCTCCTTCCCCGGGCTCCCCAGGATAGACTCTTGGTTGAACAGAGTGAGCAGGATTGCTAACTAGCTGCTCCGCCCTTCCTCTCTGGCGCTGTACTTCATAAGGATGAGTTTTGATCAAATAGTTTCCACACGATTGTACAAACAGTAGTTCAGCTCTTTTTAACAACTCTTTTCTCAAGAATCCTGGATTAGGATGTGAAACAGGGAAAATATAACTTAATTGCAGTAGTGACAAATTCACTGGATTTCACTCAATTGCTCTGCAAATTGCGTCTTAGTGCTCCCATTAGGAGTCACCCAATCAAATTCCACATACTAAGTATCGCGGAACTATCACTGCAGAAACAGAGCATAGGAGGGAGCCAGCAGTGCCGTCATGTCAGTGACTTAAAGGACCTCATCTCTCATCCATCTATGACAGAGGCAGTGGCTGAATTCTGCAAGTAGGGTAATCATGATTAATGAGGATGGGCAGGTAAGCCCAATAAATGTGAGCCCACACTGAATGGCACAGCCCAGAAGAGAACTGAAAGCAAAATCAGGAGATACAGCAAGCGTTCAGCAGGGAGTTGGATCACTAAGAATCCAACAGCTAAAGAGGGTGAAAGATGGAAGCTGAGTTGAGGACACTTTTAGCAAAAGTTATTACAGGAAAAGAATGAGGAAAAGAGTCCTATGGAGAAGGCTAACTGGGCATCTGTGAATAATGGACAGATGTGAATTTGGTATGAGGCTGGCTCAATAGTACCTCTCAACAGGGAATGGTGCAAGACAATCTCAGAGAGGAATCAGTTTCAGAGAAGGTGAGGGAAATTTAGACTGAATGAGGTAGAAAACAGAGTGTCCTTGAAGGCTATTTACCAGGGTGGGACATGAAAGAAAACTTTTGAAAGTTTTTCTTATTCAAGAACAAAGTTAATACCTCCTATAATCAGACACTGTTCATATAGACATCAACATAATGTGCAAAGTTTTAAGAAATGGTATCAATCAGTGGCAACAGATAAATCACCTATTGTCATTTCTCTGTTAACAAAGGTGATAAAGCAAAGCCCCAACTTGCCTTCATTGCCACAGTAAAAGCCACATGTGCTCACTATTTCAAAGAAAGATGTACCAAATGCCTGTCTCTTACTCAGGACCCCCTAGGTACTGGTGACACAGCCAAAACATGCATGACTCTTGTGCTGAGAGGCCTACTGTCTAGGGAGACAGAAGCCCCTATGTGCCTCATTGGCTCCTCAGAGGAGGCAAGCAGAGCCAGTGGCAGTGACAGTGCAGTGGGGATTCTCCAGGGACGGTTCTGATAACCATGGGAGAAGATACCCTCAGAGACCCGGGAGGTGGTGAGAAGGAGCACACCCTCAAAAGCAGGCAGAGGACAGGCTCAAAGGGAAGGCATCTGATGAGACCTGCTCCCAGCCCACTGAAAACCAAGGATGGAAGTTCCTTCCCCCTACCTTTCCAAACCTGTCTCTGACATCCACTCCTCCAACACCACACCCCACCCCTAGAGACACAGTTACCACCCACACTCTGCCAGAAGTTTATTCATAAAAGCACTATCTATGGGTGTGTATTTGTTCAAGTGCCTAACTCTCAATAAGACTGTGAACTTTGTGAGAACAAGAAACTGGTACCACAAAAGTATGGTAAAGGGAGCTGGATCCAAGTCCCCTATGTGTGTTTCACCACATCAGATTTGCATTCACAAATGCTTACCCACCACCTCTGTTAGACAAAGGCACCTGTGGCAGATAAACTTTAAAGGTCTCTGTATTCTAAGCGTATTAAACTCCCGGCCACAGGGCTCTGAAACAGGGCAATAATCTGACACAGTTCCTTAAGGAAGGAACTGGGAGGTGCTACAGAGGCCAAAAGGGAGAGGCTGAGAAGTGCCAGCTAAGAACCATCATCTGGAGGTTTGCAAAATCAAAGATTTAACCAAAAAGGGGCTTGGGCTTGAGCAAAGTCTATTTCTTTGTGATTTTCTGTTAGTTCATTTTGTAGGGGCCATGATAAAAAAAGAAGGCACAATCAGAATAAGACATCACTTGTGCAAGGAAACCCTGTGTGAGGGCAGAACCGCTGAGTGATAGGAGTTCCCAGGGGAGGTTTCCTGCGCCTCTGTTGGTGTCCAAGAATGAAATACTCAAGTACAGATCAAGCACACTCGACTGTTTAACTTTGAAAGAACAAGTCAGGTTCTTTTCAAAGAAGAGCAAAAGGCACAACTACTTTTGCTGTGAATAAGTAGAGAAGCCAGCTGCAGTGGAGGGGAACGGCCTCACTGTGGTTCTACTACAAATGGGGAAGTATTAAAAGAGATCCCCAGGAGGATGTCTTGACTTTATCTGATAATTGATAGTTATCTACGGCGAAGCTGCTGAAGAGGCATGCCAGGAGAACCTCTGCTGAAACTAGCATTGAGGGCAGTCTCCTGTGCCGTTTAGTGTTCAAGCTTGACTGGCTTAATCAAGAGATACGTTCTTGAAAAGAAAAACTAATGGCCACAGAAGCATATCAGCCTACACTTTCCATGGGTTTAATGACAGAGAAAGGCCAGTTTCCTAAAATAAAGCAGGGCCTGCATGAGCACTCAATAGGAAAGTATAGGGTGGGCAGATTAATGAACGAACAAATGCATGCCTGATGCAATAGCGAGACTCCCAAGGCATCAAAGCTTCAATAATAATTACTGAAGAATACGCAAGTTGTGTCTTGACTCAAGCACTTGAAAAGTGAAGGTAAAGAACCAACCAACTAACCTTCATAACGGAGGCCCCAGAAGAGCACAACTTCATGTACAGTCAGCTGTCAATTTTCCTGAGGCTCTCATCTGTCCCACAGTTTGTCTGCTGAAAATCTCGCTTTCAACTTCTTGGGAGTCTAATTAGGCAAAACAGATAAGAAAGGTCTCTGTTAGACCACCCACAACTTTGTGTTTGTGTTTCCTGCAGCACATATGCTTCAGTCCCACAAGTGATCCTTCAAACCCAAACACTTAATTGCCTCATTATCTCCTCAAAACCCACAGATGTATTAGAAAGCCAATGAGAAGAGGAGAGAGGAAGGGAGAGAACTGGCTTTCCCTCAGTCTGAAAGCTGCTAATATTTCCTGACTCTCGGAAGCTGGGAGGCATTTAAACTGATGAAAACGATGAACAAACTGAACGACTCAGCTTCCTTAGGGTCAGACGTTCATCATGTGGCTGCAGTAACTTTTCAAGAGAATTTGCCAGCCTTTAGTATCACTGTTCCTCACGGTGGAATAAAAGCAACGGACTGCAAGCAAAAGAAGCATTTTAAGTCCACTGGGGATTTGGTTAACTTGATTAGCTACGTAGTGGCTTCACAATGTATGCTTCTTTTGATAAACACTTTTCATAGGTAACTATTATGTGAACGTACAGGGTTAATAAAAGAGACCTAATGCTCTTTGAGATGGCAAAATACTTAAGATTCTGGAACATGAGAGAAAGCTTTTCATATAATGTCAGACAGCAGAGCCCTCTCTGGAAGCCAGCACTCTGAGGGCCACAGCTGTATAGGATATGGCCATGGTGAGCGATGGCCAAAAGGAGAACTCATCCCATCTCTGAGGAAAACCTGACCACAAACAGCATGACCGTTGTCTCCTGAGATTATGCTCATGTTCCCACTCCAATAAAACTGGCGAAAACCTCCACTCCCCATTGTTTCATGTTGCACCCGTGTGATGGTGGGAGGTCAAGGACCAGATAGGTCATTACAGATATGGGCTGGTCTCACTGCTGTGTAAGTCCCAAAGGGTTCTGGCAGGGGCCAGCACTGTGGCGCAGCAGTTTAAAGCCCTGGCCTGCAGGGCCAGCATCCCATATGGGCACCAGTTCAAGACCCAGCTGCTCCACTTCCAATCCAGCTCTCTGCTATGCCCTGGAAAAGCAGTGGAAGATGGCCCAAGTCCTTGGGTCCCTGCACCCATGTGGGAGACCCAGAGGAAGCTCCTGGCTCCTGGCTTCAGATCAGTGCAGCTCCCACTGTTGCAGCCAGTGAACCAGCAGATGGAAGACTTCTCTCTCTCTGCCTCTGCTTCTCTATCTGTGTTAACTCTTTCAAATAAATAAATCTTTTTTTAAGTGGATCTAATGGGGGCCAGTGCTGTGGTGTAGCAGGTAAATCTGCCGCCTGTAGTGTCGACATTCCAAATGGGCACCGGTTCAAGTCCCGGCTGCTCCACTGCTGATCCAGGCCTCTGCTGTAGCCTGAGAAAGCAGCAGAAGATGGACCAAGTGTTTGGGCCCTTGCACCCACGTGGGAGACCTGGAAGAAGTTCCTGGTTCCTGGCTTCGGATCAGCTCAACTCTGGCTAGTGGGGCCATTTGGGGAGTGAACCAGTGGAAGGCATCTCTCTCTCTTTTTCTCTCTCGCTCTCCACCTCTTTGTAACTCTGCCTTTCAAATAAATAAATAAATCTTTTTAAAAAATGTATCTAATTAAGCCCCCTGTCATTTTACAGACACAGCAACTGAGGTCCAGAGAGGCTACGTCTGTGCTTAGATGAGCCTGAGGGAGTACAATGGGGCCACATTAGGAACACAGAGCCAGGAGTGGTCAAATCAGTGGGAAAGACACCCTAAGCAGCTAGTACTGGAATAGCCAAAGGCATGTTCAGATTTTGGGAAGTAAGATAAAGACTGTGAAAAGGAAAGCAAAATTAAATGTTGGGTCTGAGAGGGGCAGGCATTTACCCTAGTGGTTAAGCTGTCTGAATCCCACACCAGAGAACCTAGGTTTGACTCCTAGCTCCAGTTCCCGAATCCAGCTCCCTGCTAGTGCACACCCTGGGAGGCAGCAGCTGATGGCTGAAGTAGTTGAGTTTCTGCACCCTTGTGGGAGATCTGGATTAGTTTCCTTGCTCTTGCCTCCAGCCTCCGCCAAGCCCCACCTTTGCATGTATTTGAGTGAACCAGCAACAGGAACTCTCTCTTGTGCTCTCTCTCCCTCTCTCTCTCTCTCTTGCTCTCATTATTGCTCTTTCTGTCTCTGAAATAAATTTTAAGGTTAGCTCTAATGGATGAGCCAGACCAGAAGAGATGGCAATTTAAATGCTGCAGTGTTGTCTCCTTTTTGGCTAAGTGTCTATGTGTGGTGGAATACAGTTGGTTTAATTTAGGCTTCTTTCTTCCTCCTTGCCGTCTCTCCTCATCCCCATCTCCCCCTTCCTGGTAGTATTAGTTTCCTGTTGCTGCTGTACAAATTATTACATAAGATTAGTGGCTTAAAAAAAAACCACCAAGTCATTCTCTGACAGTTCTGGGGCTGAGTGGTCCAAAATGGGTTCCCAGGCCACATCACAGTGTCTGTAGGACAGCACTCCCTTGGCAGTTCTGCAAAGAATCTGCCTCCAGCCTTCCCTGCTTCCAGAGCACCGGGCTTTGCAGTCCTAGCTCACAACCCCTCCCCCATCTCACTTTCATCCCACACCGCCAATCCTCGTCCACCCGAAAATTTCCCCGTACCTCCTCTTCCACTGACACCTGTGATTATATTGATTTAGGGCCTGCCAGTTAATCCAGGGGGACTCCCTACACCTTGAGATCATTAATTTGATTGTGTCTTCAGAAACCCTTTTCTGACATAAGCTAACATTCACAAATCCCAACACTTCAGACATGGATGCCTTCCGGAGCCTTTATTCAGCCAAGTACGTACACCCCGTGAGTGAACTGCAAATCCATAGATGTGAAATGCTTTCTCTCAAAAGGCAGCAGGAATTCTGACACATGGTTGCTCAGCGAGAGCTCTCCATCCCATGAGGTGGTCACTCCACTTCTCCTGATTCCAGCATTCCATGACTGATCTGAGAGCTGTGCACTTTCCAATGCCTGCTGGGTAATAGGCAAAACTTTTCAATGTGCATCCGATATGAAAGAGTTGCAGTAAACTGTGGATGCCTTACCTCTGGGAGAAGAATCCAACCGTCAATTGATTGACATTTTACAAAAGGAAATTATTCTTTGACCAACAAGATTTTGCCCTTTTGAAAGCATAATAACTTTTCAGTGAGGGCTACATCAAAGTCTGTCTTTTTTAAGTCACTTAAAGCAATAGCCTAGAGTCCTAATTTAAGTTAAAATTCAATTGCATGTAGTGCAACCAATGGGAATAAATCAATTGAGGTGACAATCAGATGCACAGGTTCCTTTACACTTGGTTAAGTTCCCATATGCAGGCTCAGGGATGATTTACATCAAAATTTACTCCTCTGCTCAGGGATTCTGCATTTCTTTGTCTTTTGATTGTAAAGTGCCTTCCAGTTACAAACTTTAAAATGTGAAACAGATTTTTAAAAAGCAAAAGCATGATAATTAGTTTGGGCAAGTTTCCTCTCTGCTTTTTCATTTTTGTGACTTCAGAAAATCACAACTAACCTTACTGATCCATATTCCATACCAAATTTTCATGACCTTTGCAGCTGGTTTATGTTTTATGGCCTCTAAGACAAGGGTGACATAACTTTATAGTAAATAAAATTGTTCTGCCATAAAGTTATTTTCTAAAGACCTCACTAATTCTAAATTCCTATTCAAATCCATCTCTGTTCAGGTATATTTTTTCTAGCATTACAAAGTCAAAAAGTCCACTCAATCTGCATAGAACATTACCTTTGAACAATAAAAATGTCATAATTTCCTCAGTACCATAAATATCGTGATGTATCCCACTTTAAAATGCAACCCCGTGATACAGAGTTTAGAATAACATATTTCACATGCTACATAAGAAAACTGTTTCTATAGACATTATTAGGGTTACTCTGTGATTCCAAGATTTCATGATGATGCGCCTTATATTTATTAATTTATTTATATATTCATTTTCATTTAACAAGCATCTGTTTAATAAGCATCTGTTCCAAGCTAGGTCCTATGGAGATGAGAGGTTGAGAATTCAAAACAAATAACAAACTAGACTAGTTAGGACAAAAAGCACACAGGCGAACATTCCCATCAAGATAGAGTGGAAGCCTCATTGGTCAGGTGGGACCAAATGATTTAGCCCATCTGGGAAAGTCATTGTAGAGTTCTCAAGGAAAGAAAGACTTTAACTGGGTCTTACCAAACGAACGTGTGGCTACCAACTAGATAAGAGATATTAAAGTGTGTGTGTGTGTGTGTGTGTGCATGTACTCCCTTGTACTAGTGAGAGATCACATGGTAATAAGAAAAAGCTTTGACCAGAAATCCGGTGACCTATACCCGAATTCCAAGTCTTCTTGTCCACTGTGTGCCTGTGGGCACTTGTCCCCCTTAGAACTCTCTGCTGGAAAGAGCAATCAACTGCATTTCATGTCTAAAACCAGATGGCTCAAAACCTCCCATCAGACACTTGTCTCTCCCAACCACTGTCATTGCAACCCCTCCCATTCCCCTACAACACATGGCTGATCATAGACAGGAAGAATGATGAGCACTGAAAGCATTGCTCAGGAAAGCGATGATCCTCATTGCAGTAGACATTCAGTCCACTGACCAGACAGGTGGCCAGGTCTGTGACATCACTGCCTTCAGCAGGAAGGCACTTCCCACATGGGGAGGGGCATTGCCCAGAGACTGACACATTGGGCCCTTCGCCACTCCGTCTCCACTCCAGCGTGCAGGGCCTTTAGCTCTGCTAAAATGACGGCCACTACACTGAAACCCCCAGGCACTGCAGGGCGGAGTCCACGGGGCTGGGCCATCATATCCTTTTCCCCACACAGAATGCCCACTTGTTTTCTTTCAGCTCTTTTACGTCTACTCCAGAGCCCCCCTCTGCCTAATCATTTAAAGGTTTAACTTCTCTGTTTCCAAGGCTCTTAAAAACATCCCCATGTCACACGCAGTGCTCCAGCCAAACGTTAAACTTTCCTTTAAGTTTGGATGAAGTCTCGGGTCTTCTCTGTCATTCGCTGTTCATCCTCCAACAGCAAAATAATGAAGCCTCTGACTCACCCCTCTACTGCCATCAGGTCGCATGATTTGCTCTTCTCAGTACCTGCTAATGTAGTATAATGCACCATAACACGCACTCCACATGAGGCATATTTTTTTTTTCCTGCACATCAACCCTGTGGTGGTTTTTAAAGGGAGCAAACCAGAAATGAAATGTGAGGGTCCTGCCTCATCCCTATGGATAGCAGTTGTAAATTTAGACATTGAAGTAGTGACTGTATCATGCTTGAATTAGTAGTCCTGGCACTCTAATATCTTGATCCTTTTTAAGTTCTCCAAGAAAATCCTTATTCCTCCTTTATGTTAAGATGCTGTGTCCCCTGTTTAGTGTCATTACTTCAAACTATAGACATTGAGGCCTCAGACACTGTCATATTCATTTCTATCCCCCACAGGGCTTCACGCAGGGCTGATCATAGAATGAATGCTTAATATTTGTTAAATTGAAATTATCTGAAGCATGTTCCAACTTGTAGTTCCTAAAAAGCCCGTGGTTTTCCAGGCAGGAGGTTAATGGCCCTTGTTTTGCTTCTGTTTGTGCTATAGAAAGTTGCCTCCACCACTGAGCTTTTGCAGCCTGAGCTGGAAGGCAGTGACTGACCTCGGTACTTCTCTGATCCTCATGGCAGCTCTGCTTCCTACAGTGGCTACTGGCATCATCTTGAATCTACTTTGGACACTTCCTGTAAATAACCTGAAACTTTCAGTTCAGTACTTTTGTTCAAACTTTGCAAATGGTAACAACTAAAAGACCTGTGCAAGAAATCTGAAATAAACTCTACTGCTAGAGTCAGGTGGATCTGGTTGGTCTGACGTGTGGTGCTGAGCAAGAAACAACATGGGAGTCTTAGGAGCATGGATGATGGACTACACAAAATACAGTGAAGATCAAAGCCCAAACAGAGACAGCATCTCTGCAGATGTTCTGCCACTGCAACAGAAGAGGGAACCTGAGACATCAAAAATGTAAGGCCAGAATCTAGAAAAGGGGAGGAACTACATATGATGGAACCCTCAAAACTTCATGTAAAATGAATATTATAGCAAAACTATGAATGGATTTCAAAAAATTCTAGCACCAAAATAAACTTATGTTTTAATATTTCCATGAACTTTTTTAAGTATCCTCATATACTGAGACTCCATATACTTATACTCCAATAGGGGATCTAATGTTAATTAGCTAAAACCTATACAATTCTGGGCAATATATTTCTCTTCTTTTCCTGAAACATTAAGGGAGAAAATCAAATCAGTTGCTCTGTTTCTCCAAATGTTAAGAAAAAAATGAGATCACTGGCTTGTTTCTAGGCTGCCTTTAGCTCTTACAGTTTATAACACTTATCTATGGGTAGATCATGTTGAATGTTGTTAATAAATATGGTATGTATGTCAGGTCACCAAGAGGCAAAGATTGTCACAAGGTTTCACATCCATTTATTCATTAAATGATATATTAAAGGAGCCAGCTTTCTGGCATAGCCAGTAAAGCTGCTGCTTGCAACACTGGCATCCTGAATGGGCCAGCTGCTCCACTTCTGAACCAGCTCCTTGCTAATGGCCTGGGGAAAGCACCAGATGTCCCAAGTGATTGGGCCCCATCATCCATGTGGGAGACTCAGATGAAGCTCCATGCTCTTGGCTTTGAGGCAATCAGGGAATGAACCAGTAAATATGAAAGATATTCTCTCTCTCTCTCTGTCTCTCTCTGTCTCTCTCTCTCTCTTGCAGCAATCAGGGAATGAACCAGCAAATATGGAAGATATTCTCTCTCTCTCTCTCTCTCTCTCTCTCTCTCTCTCTTCCTTTAACTCTGACTTTCACATAAAATAAAAAAAAAAAATCTTAGAAAAAGAACACTGGCTCTTCTTCAAGAAAGAAACAAAAAGAAACAAAAATTCAGTATGGGTTCTAGGTGAATTTTAGGCCCATCAGGAGATTTTTTTGAAAAATTCTCCACAGTATATTCTATAAATTCATTAGTAGAAACCATAGCAAGTGTGCCTATGAAGTTGTGTTGATTTAAAGCTTATTCTATTAATATTAACAGAAAGATATTTAACAGCTGTGATCCTAAAAATTAAAGCATAAGCAAGTGAGTAGGCAGTGGAAAATGGAGGAGCAAGTCCTCAAATCATCATCTTCAGGACTTACCTAAAAAGCGAACTTGAAGTCAAACAGAGATTTTAAGACTGGCCTTATCCTTGCAGTCTTAGAAAGAATCTGATGCTTAAATGTATTTAGTGGTTCACAATTACAGTGAATATTATCTGCTATTCCTCTCTAAGGGGTGGGGGAGGAATTTAAACTGCTACTCAGCCAGTACGTGTTTGCATTCTGTGATTTTGGAGCTACAATTTTTTAGCCAAGAATATTGTAGGAAGAACATGTGTCGGCGACGCGGCTCACTAGGCTAATCCTCTGCCTTGCGGTGCCGGCACACCGGGTACTAGTCCCTGTTGGGGCGCCGGATTCTGTCTCAGTTGCCCATCTTCCAGGCCAGCTCTCTGCTGTGGCCAGGGAGTGCAGTGGAGGATGGCCCAATTGCTTGGGCCCTGCACCCCATGGGAGACCAGGAGAAGTACCTGGCTCCTGCCATCGGATCAGCGCGGTGCACCGGCTGCAGCGCGCCGGCCGCGGCGGCCATTGGAGGGTGAACCAATGGCAAAGGAAGACCTTTCTCTCTGTCTCTCTCTCTCACTGTCCACTCTGCCTGTCAAAAAAAAAAAAAAAAAGAAGAAGAACATGTTTTTCCCATTTGGAAGCATTGCTTGCTAAACAGTGTGAAGAGTTAGAACTAAATGATCTGTAGTGACACAGGTCAGGTTCAGATAAAAGAGTGTTAGCTTGAGAACACATATGCAATCTATAACTCTGTAGTGCACCCAAAGCCTATAGTAAACAGTGTTTGTTACAAAAGGAATAAGCAATATAATCCAGATCAGCAGTGCATTTCAAATTTCATTTGCATCGGAATCACCTGGAGAACTTGTTAGGCCACAGATTGCTGCACCCCTCTCCCAAAGGTTCTTTCATTAGGAACTAGCGCAGTACCTGAAAATCCACATTCCCAAAAACTGTCCAGGTGACGGAACCGCAGCTTGTCCAGAGGCTACTGACCATCCCTGACTTAGGCCTGGGAAAGCTGGGAGCTGGCCTGAGTGTGGCATGTGTTTTCACACCAAATAACCTTCTCTATGTGTCTTTTTCCTCCTCAAGGTGAAGAGCTCTATGTTCTATGCTCTCCTCAGCTCCAGCTGATGCTCTTCATAGATGACTCACACCATAAAATCCTGCACCAAATCAAGTGGAGCTTACTGAGTATAAAGTAAAATTCCCCATCTGCATGCCATCTGGCCTTCAAGTCCAAACAATAAGTGTTCACAAGAAAGGGACGCCAAAATAGCATTCTACGTTTTGCTTCTAGTTTTCCTAAGAATTATCCAAAAGCATGCCCTTTTCTCCTCCTGCTCAATTCCGTATCTGATTTGTCTCAGAGACCTCAAGCGAGGAATTTTAAAACATGTGTCAGCATTTAAGTCACATATACTCCATGGGGTCAAGGAAGGTGTTAGTCAAAGGAGACAAAATTTCAGTTAGGTAGGAGGAGTTAAGTTCAAGAGACCTCTTGTTCAACAAGGTGACTAAAAAAAAAAATACTGAATACTTGAAAAATTCTAAGATTTTTAACTTGTAAATGTTCAAGCACAGAAAAAAATGATTATTCTGTGAAGTGATGCATGTCAGCTAGATTTAGTCACTCCACTGTTCATATATATATATATATACCATATATCTAATTTCAAAACATGCTGTTTTAATATGTAATAAACCATGCTGTTATTTTTTTTTGACAGGCAGAGTGGGCAGTGAGAGACAGAGAGAAAGGTCTTCCTTTACTGTTGGTTCACCCTCCAACGGCTGCTGCAGCCGGCACGCTGCGGCCAGCACGTCGTGCTGATCCGACGCCAGGAGCCAGGTACTTACCCTGGTCTCCCATGGGGTGCAGGGCCCAAGCACTTGGGCCATCCTCCACTGCACTCCCAGGCCAGAGCAGAGAGCTAGACTGGAAGAGGGGAAACCGGGACAGAATCCGGCGCCCCGACCGGAACTAGAACCTGGTGTGCCGGCGCTGCAGGTGGAGGATTAGCCTATTGAGCCATGGTGCTGGCCAATATGTAATAAAACATGCTGTTTTAATATGCAATAAAAACATATAAGTTTACCTGTCAATGTAAAAAAAATAAGTCAAAAATAGAAACACTATAGAAGTTTCCCACCTCTCTCCCTAATCTTTAATTAGGTTTTAGTTGGATTTTTAAATATGGCAGCTATAATGAGAAATCAATACATTGTCATTTATAGCCATTTACCATACCAAAATATATCTGTGCATCCAAACTCTTCATTAGCAGAGTGCAGTGTGTACTCTCTCTATTGTTCAGGTCCCTGTTGCTATTGATTAAAAAACAGCAGAGAGAGACATAGAATCACATCTTCCAAGAGGTTAGGAAGAATGAGATGGCTGAACCAGCATTCCAAATCACATCAAAGTATCCAACCTACTGAGTAAATGCAAAATTCAGACTAGCTGCTGTTATCAAATGTGGTTTGGAGACCATTTTGTCAGAGTTCCCTATGAGCCAGACTTATCAACAAGCAGAAAGACAAATTCACCCACAATATGGAGCTGGAGGAGAATCAGCCCCGCAGCAATGGGGCTGTGCTTGCTGCAATTGAACGCTGCTAGCTGTTCATCGCCAAATTGAACACAAGTGGGACAAACTGCTGACACACAACATATGCCATGGAAACCGACGGCTGGAATGAAAGAGGCTCTAGCTAGACCATTATGAAGATCAGGAAACAAGAGATGGTTCACTTCAGAACAAGGCTTCACGTAGGCAGAGCACAAGATGGAGTAATATATTTATTATTGTCCAGAGAATTGCTGAACTTTGCAGCTGCCAAGAATCTCAGCAATCCATACTATTTCTCAGCCTTTTCATTGTTTCCTTTTCATACACTCATCCCTTAAAATATGTCTTTCCCTAGGCTCTGTCCTGGATTCTTTATTCACTGAATGCTTTCCCTTGATAACTTTATCACCTTTATATGGATGATTCTCAGGTTTTTATTTCTAGTCCTGACCTTGTTCTTGAGCTACAGATTCAAACATTGCATAGCCTTACAGACATCTCCTGTGCATGTCTCAGTGGTGCAGCTAATTCAACGAGATGGAAAAAAGTGAGCCACTCAATGCCATGTCTTGTTATCTGCATTAGTGGCGGCCCTGCATTTACAGTCACCTGGCACAATCCATCAGTCTTCTGCCCACCTGTCTCCCTTCCCCACATCTATTCCCTCATGATGCCACTGTAAGTCACAGGACCCCTGCCCTGCATCATTGCAGGGATCTCTCTGATACATTCTACTGCCCAGTCCTCTTCACATCCTGCTCTCTGATTGCCTAACTCCTCTGGCCCCAAAACTCGGTATTACTTCTTTGCTTTGTAGAATACAGTCAATAGTTCTTAAAATGTCATTATAAGTGCCTATTAACTGACTTCAGTCTCCTGTCTGACTTTATCTTCCACTCCATCCTTATTTCTCTCCCCTCTCGGTCCATGGCTGTATGACTTCAAGCCACTAAAATAAAAGGCTCAGAAAACAGTTCATAAAAAAGGAAATACAAATCAGCTTGTGTGAGTTCAAACTGATGAAATCTTTACTTAATATATACTAAATGGACCTTCTGTATATAAAGATAATTGAAAATGAATCTTGATGTGAATGGGAGAGGGAGCGGGAAATGGGAGGGGTGCGAGTGGGAGGGAAATTATGGGGGGGGAAGCCATTGTAATCCATAAACTGTACTTTGGAAATTTATATTTACTAAATAAAAGTTAAAAAAAAGAAATTAGACTTCATCAAAATTAAAAAAAGATAAATGAAAATACAAAATTAAACCAAGAATGTATTTTCATTTATCAAATTGTTGAAAGTCCAAAACTTTGATAATATGCTCTGTTGAAGAAACTATAGTGAAAAAAGTACCCTCAAATATTACTGGTGGTAGCATATATTGCTACATTTTATGAACTGCTATTTTAAAAGGTCTTTTCAAAATTTGAGTGCACTTGCCCTGTTGTAGCAGACTGAAAATGGCATGCAACATTGCATTCTTCCATGTCCCCTGCTCTTACATGGGGGTATTGCATATACACAATAGCATTCTTCTCTAAGAGATAACTCTACTTAACTTCCCCCCTTGAATCTGAGCTTGTCCTGTGTCTCCTTGGCCACAGAATGGAAGTGGTCTACTGGCTTTCAGACTACACCTCAAAATACCTCCCTTTTTTCTGCTTTCTTTGAATCCTGCCATCTCCCTGCGATCAGGTCTAAACTGGCTTGCCAGAGGACAACAGACATAAAGCCCCACTGCCTGCCTCTATAGTCAATAGCTATTCAACCAACAGCCATCTTGGACAACCCAGATCCAAGCCAACCATCAGCAGACTGCAGCTACTGACCAAGCCCAGAAAATCTCCATGGAACTTTGCCCTTATCTGCAGAACCACCCAGCTGACATGTAGACTTAACATTAATAATAATACAAAATGTGTATTATTATTTTAAACAACCAAATCCCCCCCCAAATCATGTTTTTCCTGACTTGTGGTAATACACAGAGTAAAAAAAAAATACAATGTCTATGAGCAAAATTGACATTTTGAGATTTTATTATTGTTTACAGCCTTTGTCTTTACTCTTGATGACCAGTGGTTTTTCCTACGTATTACTTGTTGAATTCTTTACTTAGTGGAGGGTTAAGCTTGTGATTATAAAATAAACTGAGATTATGTCATTTTAATAATTAAAAAAATAAGAAAGTAAGTAGGAGGGAGTGTGGGACTATGGCAGGAGGGAGGGTAGGGTGGGAAGTAACACTATGCTCCCAAATCCGTGTATATGAAATACATGAAATTTGTTCAGCTTATATAAACAGAAAATTTCATAAAAGAAAGAAATAAAAGAAATGGCTTATTTTGCATAATAACAAACTTATACACCTTTATTTTTTTTTAAATATTTATTTATTTATTTGAAAAGCAGAGTTAGTTACAGAGAGAGAAGGAGAGACAGAATCTTCCATTTGTTGTTTCACTCCACAAATGGTCACAATGATGGGGGCAGGGGCAGGCTGAAATCAAGAGCTTCTTCTGAGTCTCCTGCGTGAGTGCCAGGGGCCCAGATAACTGGGCCATCTTCTTCTGCTTTCCCAGGCACATTAACAGGGAGCTGGATCAGAGGTGGAGCAGCCACTCTATTGGCCCCTGATACACTTTTTAAGGGAGAAATCCTGCTTCTAGAAATAAATACATGCAAACATACACACACTCACACACACAAAATCTTTTTGAACACTGACCCATGTTAATATAGTGCCTTTTTAAAAATGAATAACTTTTAAATGAGTAAATCACCCAAAAGGCTTTGTCCCTGCCTACACCTAAGCAATTGCCAATATAGTTGTCTCTGTCTAGACAGTAAGTATTAAGAGATTATTTAATGAATAAAAATTTTTGTCCGTGCTAAAACAACTGACATTGACAAGCACCTTTGAAGTCATCTGGTCACCCCTGTGACACAATGCATGCTCCCGGTTCGGTCATGTGACCCCTTTGTTACCTTCTCCTGGAACAAGAAGCACGCTGAACCACATTAGTAGAAGAAATGAAAGAAGAACAAAACATGTCTCTAAAGAACAAATGGTCCAGTTCCAAGTTATTTTCTTATAGAAAGAGCATTATGGATGAAGACGTTGTCACTGCATTATATTTTAATTGTGAAGAAACAAATAAATCATCAGTGATAAGAGGAAGGTTAAATAAATAATGGTGCATGCAAGGAATGGGGTACAGCTGTTATTATAAATAATTTTTAACCACTGTGGAAAACAGATTACACCATTATGTAAAGCAAAAAAGATAAAATGTGAAATTCTCTATTCAGTAAGATATCAATTGTGGAAAAACCTGATGAGACAAGTAAGATGCAAAGAAAATATGCCAACGTAGTAACTGTAAACATTTACATTGCTTCCTCCTTTTCTACTTTTCCTCTTCCTCACTCCTAAATTTTCTACAATATTCACACATTACTTTTCAATTTAGCATATGGTAAAAATGCTAAACATAATAAACTCAGGATTCACCAACACTAAAGAAGTCAGTAAGAAATAGGATATCATAATAAGACATGCTAAGTGCTTTCACAAGAAATCCTAACCCCTTAGCACAAGAAAAGACGGCTTCTTGCCTCTTAATGGAACACAGATGGGCAAGAGGTTTTCCATTCCATGCAGTCAAGAAAGAATAAGACTTCTGCTCATAACTCTGCCTTTCCCAAAGTCCTCAAACTTCTGTGCATCTATTCAATAGAAGAGAAAAAAAACAAACCAGGAGATACATATGTGGGAGTATGCTGTGGCCCAGGATAGAGGGGAAGGCACCACTAGAGCCCATGTCCACATCTATTGGAAGCAGCACTGGGCAACTCATGTGTCTACGTTCCTGGGAGGAAGAAGCAGCAGCCATGGTGGATATTAGCCAGTCTCTAACACAGCCAGCAAAGAGGCTCATGGAATATGAGAATTTTGTGTATCTCTTAAATTTCTGAATGACAGGAAATTGGAAAAAAGTAGAAAAAAAGAGAGTCTAGCTGGATAGCTTGGCATGACAGCGGAAGAAAAAGTGAAGGAGATAACTACTCTTAAAGGAGGGAGAAGGACAGAGCCATTAGAAGGCCAATGTCTGCATTTTTTACCTGCAATCAGAACTAGGAAAACCATCTCTAATTTCTAACAAAGCTTTGCTTCACTTTCAATCCCGCTCTCAACCTCTATAACCTCTTTGGCAAATTAAGGTTCAAACCTCAGAGCTCTCATGTGTAAAATGAAGTTATTAATACTTAATTTGAGAGATTCCAAGAAGGAAAATTAAGGAAAAACATACTGTGCTAGGCTAGGGATAAACAGTAAAAAAAAAAAAAATAAAGTGTAAGAAGTTCACTTTCAGGAGTGAACTGGAGAGAAAACTACACTGGAAATCCTACAAGAGGAAAAGGAACACTGTGGACCCGTGTGGAGGGTGAGGATGCAGGCATGGATGCGAACATAACCACAACTGCAGCAGCAGAGAGCTGGGACAGGTGGCAGCTTGGAGACGGAACTGAAACCAGACTGCAGCAACCCACGGTGACAGAGGAGGAAGGAGAGCATGGCGTGCATCTGGACTGGAGCACTGTGGGCTAGTGGTTGCTAGTGGTTGCCTGCAGTTCCACTGGAAGTAGAGGGGAGACATTTATCCCACCCAGACTTCCCCACAACAGTATCCACTGCCTGGCTGAGAAAGGGCAGGTGCCATTTTGGTTTGGGGCAGGAGCTGCTGAAGACTGTGTGCACTCACAGCAACTGGCTGAGACAGGACTCCATCTTCTCAGCGTACTGGCAGCAGTGGCAGGAAGATAGTAACATTCGTCCAATGACTCTGGTGTACAAGATCCAGAGATCCTAGTGAAGGAACAGTCCACAGTCCCCAATGGCTGAGCCTGGCTGGGAGGTAGCTGGCCAACCACGTGAGACAGTGAGGTGCCTACAGACGCTCAGGATCAGCACACCTAGGAGGGGCAGTCTCAGGGAACATCTGCCTCTCTGTGGACTGGACAGGCTGGCAGGGCAGAGAGAAACCTCTGTAACTAGCGACTAAAGGAGCCTTGTATGCAGAGACCGTGGGGATTTGGTGGTTTCCTGAGATGATGCAGGTTATAACTGGGTCTCTGGGCAATCACTGGGTGCACCTCCACATGTTCAGAGCTCCTTGGTGGCCTAGAGCAGATTGTTGCAGTGGGACCTGTGCACACAGTGAGGACTGTGCAAATCATTAGTGCAGTTAATTTGGTGGCACAGAACACACCGGGGGCTATTGAAATCTACCATGAGCAACTTGGGTGATACCCTGAATACTTGCCCCACCCTGGAGCAGTGACCAGAGCTCCATGGCCACACTCACCACATACTGCTTGGTATTCACTGAAAGTGCAGACATCCCACTGAGCCACAGAGGCATAGCTCAATGATAAAAGTCAAAAGAAGAAAAAAAATCAACTCCAAAAGTGCCTAAAAACAAATGCAAAAATTCAGGAAACAAGAATAAGGAAGACATATGAGCTCCCAAAGAACACAACATTTCAATTTTAGAATGTGAACATGAAGAGACTGAGGAAATACCAGAAATGAAATTCAAAAAATTAATCATAGGATTACACAAAAGTAATCAGAAGTAAATTCATGAACTAAAGGAATTCCTGAATGTGTGGAGAGAGCTGAATAGAAGGCTTATTTAGTGAAATAACTACAGAAAACTTCACCAAATTAGAGAAAGAAAGGGGCATCCAAGTACAGGAAGCAAACAGAATTCCTAATAGACATGACCAGAAAAGATCTTCACCATGACACACTGTAGTCAAATTTCCCATGGTAGGGACCGGTGCTGTGGTTCAGCAGGTTATAGCCCTGTCCTGAAGCACCAGCATCCCATATGGGTGCCAGTTCTAGTCCTGCCTGCTCCTCTTCCAATCTAGCTCTTTGCTGTGGCCTGGGATATTGGTAGAAGATGGCCCAGGTCCTTGGGCCCCTGCACCCAAGTGGGAGACCCAGAATAAGCTCCTGGCTCCTGGCTTCAGATCGGCCCAGCTCCGGTCATTGTGGCCATCTGGGGAGTGAACCATCAGATGGAATACCTATCTCTCTCTCTCTCTCTCTCTGCCTCTCTGCCTCTCTCTGCAACTTTGTCTTTCAAATAAATGAAATAAATATTAAAAAAAAAACAAATTTCCCATGGTAAAACATAAAGAAAATATTCTAAAATATGCATGAAAGAAATGCCAGATCACTTTCACAGGGTCACCAGTTAGACTCACAGCTGACTTCTCAGTAGAATCATTACAGGCTAGAAGACAATGACGAGAATATATAGTCAAAGTCTTAAAAGAAAAAAAAAACTGTCAACCCAGAATACTGTACCGTGCAAAGCTCTCATTTATGAATTAAGGTGAAAAGAGACCTTTCACAGCAAACAGAAATTGGAAGAATTTTATGTCACTCATTAAGTCTTACAAAAGATGCTTAAGGATGTGTTATACCTAGAAACAGAAAAATGGCCATCATTATGAAAGAATGTGCAGGCAGAAAATCCTGCAGTAAAAGTACAAAAGAAACACAAAATAAAAAATAGGTATATTTATGGAAAAATGGCAGAGCATGTCGTTATTTATCAACAGTCACCTTTAATGTAAATGGCCTCAACCCCCAATTAAAAGATAAAGACTGCTCTAATGGATTAAAAAACAAGACCCATCTACCTTCTGCCTACAAGAAACATATCTTACCAACAAAGATACATGTAGACTGAAAGTGAAAGGATGCAAAAAGATATTCCATGTTAAAGGAAGGCCAGAAAGGACAGGTATTGCCATCCTCATATAAGACAAAGTAGACTTTAATATAAAACTGTAAAAAGAGACAAAGAAGGGCACTGTGTAATGATTAAGGGATCAATTAAATAGGAAGTTGTGATTAAAATAAATATATATGCACCCAATGAAAGGGGCCCTGGCTATTTAAAAAAATGTTAATGGATCTAAAGGGAGACATAAACACCAATATAATAGTAACAGGGAACTTCAACACCCCACTTTCATCATTGGAAATACCAATTGGACAAAAAATCAACAAAAAACAACAGATAACGAACACTATGGCCCAAAAGGACGTAACAGATATCTACAGAACTTTCCATTCTTCAGCTGCAGAAAACACGTTCTTCTCATCAGTGCATAAAGCAAGTCTCAGCAAATTAAAAAAAAAAAAAATGGAAATCATACCATGCTTCTTCTCTGACCACAATGGAATTAAGCTAGAATCAATAACTCAAGAATTTTTATATGAAATACAAACACATGAAGACTGAACAATATGTTCCTGAATGAACAGTGGGTCACAGAAGAAGTCCAAAGAGAAATCAAAAAATTTCAGGAAACAAATGAAGAGACAATACAACATATCAAAACTTATGGGATATAGCAAAGGCAGTGCTAAGAGGGAAATTTATAGCAATTGGCACCTACATCAAGAAACTGAAAAGACAATAAATGCATCTCAAGGATACAGAAAAACAACAAACCAAGCCAAAAATTAGTAGAAGGAAAGAACTAATTAAAATTAGAGAAGAAATAAACAAAATTGAAACAAAAATACAGAAAATCAGTGAACTGAAGACCTGGTTTTTTGAAAACAATAAACAAAACTGACACAGCATTGGCCAAACTAAAAAAAGAGACAGAGAAAGAAGACTCAAATCAATAAAGCAGAGATTAAAAAGAAATGTAACAACAGATATAAAAAGAATCATCAAGAATTACTACAAAGAGCTATATGCCAACAAATTGGGAAACCTAGAAGAAATGCATAGATTCCTAGACACATACAATCTACCAAAATTGAGTCATAAAGACAGAAAACCAAAAACCAACACAGAAATTAAATCAGTAATAAAGACCCTCCCAAAAAAGAAAATCCCAGGACCAGAATGCTTCACTACTGAATTCTACCAGACATTTAAAAAAGAACTAAATCCAATTCTTATCAAGGTATTCAAAACAACTGAAGGGAGGGAATTCTCCCAAATTCCTTCTATGAAGCCTGCATCACATTGAATCCTAAACCAGAAAAAGATAAAAGAGAGAAAAAGAATGATTGACCAATATTCCTGAGGGTCATGGATAGAAAAATTCCCAAAAAAATATTAGCTAATCGAATCCAACAACACATCAGAAAGATTATCCACCTGAACCAAGTGGGATTTATCCCTGGTATGCAGGGATGTTCAAACATTCACAAATCAATAAGTGTGATACATCACATTAACAAGCTAAACAAAAACCATACAGTTATCTCAACAGATGCAGAGAAAGCATCTGATAAAATACAACAACCTTTCATGATGAAAATCTTAAGAAGCAAATAGGCTATAGGAGGAACAGTCCTCAAGACAGTCAAGGCAATTTATGACAAACCCATGGCCAGTGTCCCACTGAATAGGGAAACGCTTTGAATCACTCCCCCTAAGATTTGGAATGAGACAAGGATGCCCACTTTCACTATTTCTATAGCATATATTCCTGGAAGTTTCAGCCAGAGCCATTATGCAAGATAAAGAAATCAAAGGGGTACAATTTGGAAAGGAGGAGATCAAAACTAATTACATAATTCTATATATAGGAGATCCAAAAGACTCCACTGAGAGGCTATTGGAACTCATAAAATAGTTTGGTAAAGTGGCAGGATATAAAAATTAACATGGAAAAATCAATAGCTTTTGTATACACAGGCAATGTCATGGCTGAGAAAGATCAGTCCTACTCACAATAGCTCCAAAAAAGTATTAAATGTCTTATAATAAATTTAACCAAGGATTTCAAAGATCTCTACAATGAAAATTACAAAATATTAATGAAACAGAAGACATTTAAAAATGGAGAAATCTTCCATGTTCATGTTTTAGAATGAACATCATCAAAATGTCCATTCTACCCAAAGAAATTTACAGATTCATCACAATCCCAATCAAAATACCAATGAAAGTTTTGCAGATCTAGAAAAAATGATGCTAAAATTCATATGGAAATGCAATAGACCCCGAATAGCTAAAACAATTTTATATAACAAAAACAAGGCTGGCAGCAACAAAATACCTGATTTTAAGACACACTTCTGGGCAGTTATAATCAAAACTGCCTGTTACTGGCACAAAATCAGATGTGTAGATCAATGGAACAGAATAGAAACTCCAGAAATCAATCCACGCGTCCACAACCCCGAATTCCTGAAGCAAGGACAGTGTCTTTAACAAATAGTGCTGGAGAAACTGGATCTCTATGTGTAGAAGTATGATACTAGACCTTTTACATTATATAAAAATTTCACCCAAAATGGATCAATGCCCTAAATCTATGATTCAATACCATCAAATTAGTAGAGAACATCGGGGAAACTCTGCAAGACACTGGCATAGTCAAGAGCTTCTTGGAATAGGCTCCAGAAGTACAGGCTATCAAAGCCAAAATTTACAAATGGGTTTACATCAGGCTGAGAAGCCTCTGCAGTGCAAAGGAAACATTCAATCAACGTGAAGAGGCTACCGACAGAATGGGAGAAAATATTTGCAATCCATGCAACAGGTAAAGGGTTAACATCTAGAATCTATTAAGAGCTCATGAAATTCAACAACAAAACAAACAGTCTAGTTAGGAAATGGGCAAAGGACTTGAACAGGCATTTTTCATAAAAGGAAAATCATATGACCAAAAGACACTTGAAAAAATTCTCAGGATTGGGGCCAGCACTGTGGAATAGTGGGTAAAGTTGCTGCCAGCAGTGCCAGCAGCCCATATGGGTGCCAGTTCGAACTTCAGCTGCTCTACTTCTGATCCAGCTTTCTGTTATGGCCTGGGAAAGCAGTGGAAGATGGCCCAATTCCTTGGGCCCCTGCACACATGTCGGAGACCTGGAAGAAGCTCCTGGCTCCTGGCTCCGGATCGGCACAGCTCTGATCATGTGGTCAATTGGGGAGTGAACTGGTGGATAGAAGACCCCCAACTCTGTAACTCTGCCTTTCAAATAACATAAATAATCTTTTTAAAAAATGCTCAGGATCACTAGCCATCAGGGAAATGCAAGTCAAAACCATGGTGAGGTTTCACCTCACTCCAGTTATAATGGTTCTTAAACAGAAATCAACAAACAACAAATACTCATGAGAATGTCAGAGAAAGGTACTCTGGTCCACTGTTGGTGGAAATGTAAACTGGTGCAGCCACTGTGGAAGACAGTATGGAAATACTTCAGAAATCTGAATTTATATACCTATGATATGATCCAGCCATCCCACTCCTGGGAATTTATCCAAACAAAAAAAATCAGTATATGAACGATTTGTCTGTACTCCCTTGTTCATTGCAGTAGAGATCACAATAGATAAGATATGGAATCAAGCCAGATGTTCATCAACTGTTAACTGGATAAAAAGATTATGGTATATATAAACTATGGAGTACTACTCAGCTGTAAAAAAAAATGAAATCCTGTCTTTTGTGACAAGATGGATGCAATGGGAAACCATTATACTTAGTGAAATAAGCCATTCCCAAAAAGACAGATATCATATATATTTTTTATTTTATTTTATTTTTATTTTTTGACAGGCAGAGTGGACAGTGAGAGAGACAGAGAGAAAGGTCTTCCTTTGCCGTTGGTTCACCATCCAATGGCCGCTGCAGCCGGCGCGCTGCGGCCAGCGCACCACGCTGATCCGATGGCAGGGGCCAGGTACTTATCCTGGTCTCCCATGGGGTGCAGGGCCCAAGGACTTGGGCCATCCTTCACTGCACTCCCTGGCCACAGCAGAGAGCTGGACTGGAAGATGGGCAACCGGGACAGAATCCGGCGCCCCGACTGGGACTAGAACCCGGTGTGCCAGCGCCACAAGGCGGAGGATTAGCCTAGTGAGCCACAGCACCGGCCTAGATATCATATATTTTACCTGATCCAGGGTAACTAATAGAGAACCTGAACCGTAATGTATTGGAATAAAGTAGACATTTTGAGATTCAATGACTATTTACAGCCCTTTTCTCTTCTATAGAGGAATAATGTTGGTTTTTGGTTTTTTATTCTCTCTTCATACTATTTGCTGAATTCTTTTATTTAGTATAGGGTTAACAATACAATCACTACGTAAACTGAAAATACATCTTTGTAAAAATCAAGAGTGGAGATGTAAGGAGGAGGATGAAGAGTTGCAGCATGGGTGGAAGAGAGGGTAGGGGGAAAGTGTCACTATGTTCCCAAATCTATGTTTCCATATATGAAATACATGAAACCTGTATAACTTAAATAAAATTTTTAAGAAAAGAACAAAGCTAAAAAATTATATCTAATTCACCATATTATGTACAAGATCAGCAAAACACATAGTAGGTATTCAACAAATGGGAGTTCTGACAATTTGGTACTACCATAAGAAATAATCAATTATAATTCTATACTATGAAACTATCCAATGATAATGATTTAATTTTGTAATTTTTTTTTTTTGACAGGCAGAGAGGACAGTGAGAGAGAGAGAGAGACAGAGCGAAAGGTCTTCCTTTGCCGTTGGTTCACCCTCCAATGGCCGCTGCAGCCAGCACACTGCGGCAGGCGCACCATGCTGATCTGAAGCCAGGAGCCAGGTGCTTCCCCTGGTCTCTCATGCGGGTGCAGGGCCCAAGTACTTGGGCCATCCTCCACTGCACTCCCGGGCCACAGCAGAGAGCTGGACAGGAAGAGGAACGACCGGAAAGAATCTGGCGCCCCGACCAGGACTAGAACCAGGTGTGCCAGCACCGCAGACAGAGGATTAGCCTATTGAGCCACGGCGCAGGCCAATTTTTTGTAAATTTTTAATACATTGTAAATATTTTTTAATTTATTCCTCACTCATTACTCTAAATTCCCTCCTTTATAAAGCACACAAGGGATATGACAATTATTTTCTACTTAAGTATCAAAAATTTTAATTACTAAGCACATAAAATGGACATGCTTGACTTACTATTATAAAGAATGGCTTGCGGCAGGAGTTCACACCTGCAGTTAAGATACAAGTTAGGATACCCACCTCCCAAATCAGAGTGCCTGGGTTCAATTCCCAGCTCTGGCTCCAGATTCCAGTTTTCCACTTAACTGGCACCTTGGGCAGCAACAGTGATGGCTCAAATAGTTGGATCTATTTCCTACTTAGGAAATCTGAGATGAGTTCCAAATCTCTAGCTATTACAGGTTTTGTAAAGTCAACCAGCCTATTATAGTGCTGCCTCTGTGTCACTCTCTCTCTCTTCTTCTTGTATAAATACTTTTAAAAAATGGCTTAACCATGCAATAATTATGCATTTATTTATTCTAGTTATATTATACGGTTTTATGCAATACAATTGGTGTTGATCTTTTATTAACATAAGACAAACATAAAAATAGAAAATTCTCATTGGCTTTTCAAAGCATTAACAATATCCAAAGATAAGAAATATTCAAAAAGGAGGAAATCAAAATTCTTTCTGACCACAGTTCTGTCATTTAATCTCACATTATCAGTTTTAGTGATTGACTTCTTATCCTCAAATGTTTCTACTTCTGGTGATGCTTCACTCTGATCACTCCCAGAGATTTAGGGATCCAAATGTTCTGAACCCAGGTGGGTGACAATAGGTGGCCCTCCCTCTCCCTGACTAGCTCATTTTTTCAGAATACTCCCCTAGGCCCACTCCAGGCCTGGCACAGTGTACACCCCGATGAGCAAGGAAAAAATCCCCACATCCTCTGTTACAATCATCTCATTGAGAGGTGAGAATGTAGGCAACTGGAAACTAACATGGGTGACAAAGTCTGTGCAATCCAAAGTCAACTGACCACCTGAGGGAATCAGGGAACTTCCTCTCTGATTTCTTGTTATGTGCACCATTTATGCCTTAGTCTACTTATGCCTCCATAACAAAACAGAAATTTATATTTCACAGTGTTGAGGCTGGGCGTCCACGGCCCAGGAATGTGGTAGGAAGGACCTTGTCTTTCCAAGAAGCTGCCTTGGAACTGCATTCTCTCCATGGGAGTAATGCTTGCAACTTCACAGGTGCAAGAGACAGAGGGACAAGCCAAATGCTACGTGAAGCCTCATTTGTAAGGGCCTTAATGCCAGTCATGAGGAAAAATCTTCAGGAGCTAATCACCTCCAAAAGCACCTCTCTTCAGACTATCACAATGGCCACTGAGTTTTGACATATGAATTTTGGAGAGATAACATTCAAATCACAGCAATCTATAATCATAATCTAATCTCTTTATAATGCCACAAAAGATGGAAATAACTAAAATAAGGGGAAATACATGCAAACAAAAAATTGGGCTGTGTATTGCCTAAAGAAATCTGTTAGAAAGAGCTAGGACTAGCTGGTGTCTCAAACATGTCAGAGTCTCTTGTCAGCCCCCTCAGTGTAAATTAATCTACTAGCACATTGCCCTGTTTATCCTCTAGGTACAAGGAAAACCTCATATTGTAAGACAAGTTGTACATAAAAGCATCTCTTCCTTTCTTCAGTTCTATCGAAGGCATACCTACTAACTACTGCAGTGACTCATCAGCACTGAGTCAGCATTGAGGCACGACTCCCAGCAGTCGTGAGCACTCTTACATATGGAAAATCAAAGAAAAGAGAAAGTATGACTGAGAATTTCTTGGAAGCAAAGCGAATATCTGGGAATAAGAAGCTTTAGACTGTCAGTAATCTTTTTTTTTTTTTTTTAACGTCTCACATTGTGATGTTCAAACTTTTACACCTGTGGTGATGTGAAAAACCATGTTAAGCCTTCACTACATGTCAAGACTTGAACATTGATTTTTAAGATTGAACAAGTGAAGCCAGATACTTAACTGTCTCAAATCTATTTCCACAGCCAGAAATACCCAGAAAAGAAGAGGCCCTGTTGCAAGTGCTTCACAAAGGTGTTTGAAGCTAAGGTATTAGCGATCACCAGGAATACAGGGGAGACAGAGTTTCCATGAGAGGAAAGCATTGAGGAAGATGTGGAGATTTTACCCTGAATTAAAGGTAGAGTGAAGGGGAAACAAGGAAACCCACGTATGCTCCAAAACAATGAAAAACACTCGCTGAGACCTTCCTGTGTGTTCAGCATATTTCTCAAGGTGGCTTATATGTTTTAGGTTACCCTCACTGTATTTGTCTAGTTTTCATAAATTCAACTAAAATGCTTGAAAGAAGGTTCTTGGGAAAGAAAAAGTTTATTTCAGCACAAAGTTTTGAGGTTACAGTTCTGGATTAGGCATCCTGTAGTACAGCATCTAATACAGGCTGTTGCTCATGGTAATTGTGGTGGTATAATCGCATGGTAAGCCAGGAAACAGAATCAGAACAGCTAGGCAGAACTGGAGCTCAAATAATCAACCCTGTCACAAGAATCCTTCTCTGAGGACACGCCCCCCCCCACAATGACCTAAAGACCTCCCAGCAGACCCACCTCTCAGATGCTATAATTAGATCAAGTCTCTGCCCTTAACCCAGCAACCATTAACATTAACACATCAGAGTTTAAAGATTCCCAGGAGTTTGGGGAAGACAAGACTGACTCAAGCAAGAGCATTCACCTACCTACAGAAGTAAATTCTGTTCATCCTGTTCAGGGACTAGAAGCAGAGACATCCATGACAACTCGAGAAAAATTTACACAGCTTATAGAGCAAGTAGGAAATGTAAGACTTGGAGGCAAGGTGAGTGAATTAAGCCAGTCCCAAAGAGACAAATATCATATGTTCTCCCTGATTGGTGACAAATAACCAAACACAAAAAAGGAAACCTGTTGAAGTGAAAGGGACACTATGAGAAACAGTGACTTGATCAGCCCTTGCCCTGACTGTTGATGTACAATTTAATACTTTATCCCTTTTAGTATTTTTTTGTTCTACTTAATACTATTGGTTGAACTCTGTAATCAACACACATTTATTCTTAGGTGTTGAATTTTAACTGAAAAGTGATCCCTGTTAAATATAAGAGTGGGAATAAGAGAAGGAGGAGATGTACAATTCGGGACATGCTCAATCGGACTTGCCCCAAATGGTGGAGTTAGAAATGTGCCAGGGGATTCCAATACAATCCCATCAAGATTGCATGTACCAATGCCATCTCACTAGTCCAAGTGATCAATTTCAATTCACAATTGATCACACTGATAGGTCTAAGAGTCAAAGGGATCACACAAACAAGACTAGTGTCTGCTAATACTAACTGATAGAATAAAAAAGGGAGAGAACGATCCAGCATGGGAAGTGAGATACACAGCAGACTCATAGAATGGCAGATGTCCTAAACAGCACTCTGGCCTCAGAATCAGCCCTTAAGGCACTCGGATCTGGCTGAAGAGCCCATGAGAGTATTTCAGGCATGGAAAACCAAGACACTCTGGCCAAAAAAAATAAAAAAATAAAAAATAAAAACACCACCTAAATGAAAGGTCTCTGCGAGTGAGATCACAGTAGAAAGAATGGGTCATCAAAGAAGGAGGTACCTTTCTCTGAAGGGAGGAGAGAACTTCCACTTTGACTATGACCTTGTCTAAATAAGATCGAAGTCAGCAAACTCACAATGCTTCCATAGCCTTGGCAACTTATGACTAGTGCCTAGGGAGATTTCTGACGCCATAAACAAGAGTGTCAATTTGTTAAGTCAACAACAGGAGTCACTGGGTACTTACTCCTTATGTGGGATCACTGTCCTTCATGTGTTGTCCAATGTGAATTAATGCTATAACTAGTACTCAAACAGTATTTCACACTTTATGTTCTGTGTGGGTGCAAACTGATGAAATCTTTACTTAATATATACGAAACTGATCTTCTGTATATAAAGAGAATTGAAAATGAATCTTGATGTGAATGGAATGGGAGAGGGAGCGGGAGATGGGAGGGGTGCGGGTGGGAGGGAAGTTATGGGTGGGAAAAAGCCATTGTAATCCATAAACTCTACTTTGGAAAATTATATTTATTAAATAAAAGTTAAAAAAAAGACCTGGAGGCAAGGTGATCTAGTTCCAGGGTGTGCATTTACAACCTTTACCTTATACATCCTCTCACCCACAAAGTCCCATACACTGACATAATTTATTAGTTAAAACTCACAGCTGTATGTTGGTTGGATTAATCAAAGTTAAGAAAAAGATAAAACATTTTAGTGAGGAACTTGAAGGAACTTGAAATGAGACACACTGAAGACAAGTTTAACAGTTTCTCCAATCAACTATATTCATCAGTTTGGATGGAGAATCAATTTATCTCTTTATTTCTTAATGATAATAATGGCAAACACTTCCTAGATGTTTACATATTACTAGCTAAGCTCTGCTCTAAGCACCATAAACTTTTTCATTATCATAATAACCCTAAAATCATTATATTAGTTAAAATAGTGCTATAACAACCCAAAAAGATATGACAACTCACTATTTCTGTTCACAAATAACTATCAGGTGTTTCTATTGTAAGTGATTCTGCTCCAAGTAGTGACTCAGAGACCCAGATTCTTTATATCCTATGGCCTTAGCATCTTCAAAATGTGGTTTCCAAGTGACTGTGCTTGTCTGCAACATGTAGGTGAAAAGGAATTAACATTTGGGGTTGAGGGGTGGTACATACAATTGCTGTGTATTTATCTATTTATATATTATATATTACTCAAACGCATGGCCACGCCTAACTTTCAAGAAAGCTGCCAAATGTAGTCTTGCTATATGTGCCCATAGAAAAGGATTCTTATTTGGAAACACCACACCAGCCGTGGAGGCGGGTAGGTACATTACTGTCTACATTATACACATTAGGAAATGGAGACACAAGAGGTTAAATAACCTACCCATGTCATACACTTGGCAAGTGGCAGATTCAGGATTCAAACCCAGATGGTCTTATTTGAAATTCCTGCTGTTAACCAGGACAGTTTGTCACTACCTCTTGAAGACATGATGAATGAGGTTGTACATGCAGGGAAGCATCATGGGGCATTGCTCTGCAGCATCAACATAATACATCTTCTTCCTTTAAAGCCAAATCCCTCCCCTCTCCTTTCTTCCATTGTGTAATTGGCATTTACCTATGATTAATAGGTGTACAGTGGATTCCTATGTAAGATCGCTACATCAAGAGTTATTACCATCAATGAAAATTCCATTGTTGGGTTCTGAAACTCAAACAGCGTCACAGACGTGAATAGAAGTGATTGTTACTGCAATACTTGAGAGCGAGTACTCCGGAACAACAACTCCTCCCCCATACTAAAGTAAATAGATGAGCTAGAATACTTCTTTTACTGGACACTGAAAGCTTACATGGTATTTTTGATTGTGAAAAAATACATATTTTTAGATTTTCTAGGGTTATTTTCCCCCTTAATGATCTGGTCTCATTCCTTTTGCATCTGCTTGCCTTTATTTCTAATACCTATAGCCCCACTGAGTCCATATTTTAAAATAATAAGTTTCACAAAGGAACTAAGTTATCCCTAAGGAAAAACTACTGTTTTTAATAACAAAACCTTGTTTGTATAACAAACTCCCCTCATGGGATGCAGTGTGATTCAGGGCTGGTCCATCTCCCAGTTGCACAACATCACTCAGCTTGCCTTGCAAGTGAACTCTGTTCAGATCCCAGCTCTGCCAGCCAGAGGGCAACATGTAGACCAACCCTGGGCTCTAGGCCTCCCACCTAGCAGAGCTTTGCTCTGCATCCTCAGTGTGATGTACAGCCCCTAGACCCCAAGTCTCACACTCATGCACCACATCCAGATTCTCTTCAACTCTGACTATGGTACTTAACCAATCGGGTGCTCTGGGAGGAATGTTGATCAGCAGCACGCCTGGAGTGAGACCTAAGAACCCTGTGCTAACGAGATGCACACAGCCTTACAATAACCCCACTATTTAGCAAATATCTACTTGCTACTTGCTCTATGCCAGGGATAAGAATTCAACAGTGGATATGGCACTGTCTCTCCTCTGAACCAATGAAAGGAAGAAGTAGAAGAAGACAAAGCACTGAGAAGGTGCACAACATGGGCTACAATAAGGACTAATTCAAGGAGACAGGGGTGCACAGAAGAGGGACTTTAAAGTGCAGCCATGCCAACAACATCTAGACTGACATCTAGATCAAACAAAGTTTTGGTGCTGGTCAAGGCCTGCAAGAGTCATCCAGCCAGACTGTGTGACAAGACAAAGCAAGTGGAAATGGCTACAAGAGAGAGGGGATCAAGGTTCACTGCAGGCAGGAGAATGGTCAGAGCAGAGGCTGAATCCAGGACACTGCACGGGGCAACATGGCTCTGCAGGGCGGGCATTAAGCATGGGCTGGAGAGATGGGCACAGCACAGAGGAGATGGCCAGATGTAAGGCTGGTAAGAAGCAGCTCTCCTGCAGGCTCACTAAGCGCATTTGGAATGCAAACTTCTGCCCAAGGGCAGTGAGGAGCTGAGTTGCAGTTTTCAGCAGAGATGTGGTATGGACCACAGACTACTAGCTATCACCATTAGTCATTCTCACCCATCTGTCTCCAGCTCTCTAAAGAGGACCCTCCTGAGCATTGCCCTTTGATCTGATTGTAAATGTCCCTGCAAGCATTTCTGTGTGTCCCAGCTGCCCACTGAGCCAACTCAGAGTCCTGCCTTTGTCATGATACACGGCAGTGCTATCTTCCCATCCTCCGTCCAACCTCACAGAGAAGACAGGCGTCTCTAAATCCAGATGACCTATGTTGCATAAACAGATCCAGTCACTTCCCTGCCAGGTAGCCCCTGTTGCTGAGTTCCCATTATACCTCAGAGCATAAAGACTTATCTGAGACCTCTGTAGCAATGGTAAAATGATAAACACATTCAGACTTCCAGGAAAGTCACACTCAGATTCTGTTCACCAAGCAACTACTTACTTTGCTATGCACACAGCTGAACCATATTTGCAACCTCCCTTTTAGTTAGGGCTGGCTATGTGCCGGAGTAACAAATGAAAGGGAACAGAAACGTGTGAGCACCACTACCTTGACCCCTTGTGCCAGTTCCCTCTCCACCCACATGATGCAGGATTTAGAAGTCATATTTTGAAGACAGGAGAACTACAAGGTGGAAAATGCCTGGGTCCCCAGCTCACTATTTGGAACGGAGCCTCCACCAATCAGAATGGCTGGTAAGAGTTAAATATCTGCAGGAAACAAGCCTCTGTTCTTTTATCCCCATAGCTTTTTTTGTTTGTTTGTTAGAGCATTGTTTTGATGAAGAAGCTACCTCCTAGGGCTAGTCCCTGTATGGAATGAGCTAGTACAGGTAAAGTGCCTAGAGGAGAGCTTAGCAAATTGTATGTGAACACCTAGAAAAAGTGTGCTATTATTTCTAATAAGAGATAGAGATTCAGAGGTTCTCCATGCCAATAGATGAATATAGTTTATCAGAACAGGTGCTAAACATGACCTCAAAGCACCTCACTTTTTTGCTGTGTTTTTTCAAAAAATCAAGAATCCCACCAAGAAGGCCATGATGAAAGGCATCAAGTATCATTTATTCAACAATCAGAAGACTCTGATGAAGCACATACCGCACGCCAAACCCTGAGCTCATCAATAATAAACCTTCGCTACTTGAAGCGTGTTTCTCAGACAAGCAGCCTTGGCATCCCCTAGAAGTCAGTGAAAAAACCATGAAATCTCGGGTCCCATCCCAGACTCACTGAACAAGAATCTACAGTTCTGACAAGATCCCCTGGTGACTCACACACATTAAACTTTCAGAAGCATTTTATTAAAAAAGGATACAGCCCCTGACATCAAGACACTGTCTATAAATGGAAGGAAAGAGGCAAGGATGATTAGCTCTGGCAGGAAAATGCAGGAAAGACTTCGCTGCCGAGTTTCATATTTTAACTTGGATCCTGCAGCACAAGTAAGAGTTGGCCAGATATAAAAACAGGTGCAGGCCGCTTTGATACAGGGACTGGAACAAGCAATAAGAGTGTCTTGAAGGATCAGGACCTGGTTTGAGGGCTGTAAAGGTAATCTATGGGTTGACTGTGAGGCCAGATCTAGAAAATCATTCACATTAAGGTACATAAGGAAGTCAGATCAAGACCTCCAACCCCAGAGCATTTTATAACATGCTCCCCTGCATATTAAACACAAGCATGGAGCAAGAGCTGTGTCCTCTTTCTAGATATTGACAGGATGTCCCCAAATGCAGCTGGCACCATTTCCATGGAGTTCATGGTCAAGATGCCCCTAGGATGTCCAACCGCTAGGCTTGTACTCATAGCCCCTGAGTTCCCTGTAGAAGGAAAAGTGTTCACTTGCTCAATAGCCTGGGAAGGTTTACCTAAGCTAGAGCAGAGGCTAGTTCAAAGTATGGTGAAGCTGAGCTTGCCAGGTGAGGCAGTGCGTGAGCCTGTGTGTAGGGATTGAAACACAATGGGTCAAAGTGGCTTCCTCAAGGCAAAGTATGGCATCACCTGCCTAAAGCAAAAAAGCCCATTTTCATGTATTTAGAGTATCCAAATAATTTAATATAACTGAAGTATTAATTTTTTTCTTGTTACCACTTTACAAATTTATTTTTTTCATAGATACAATCCTAAAATATACTGATACTTCTCTTCCTCATTCTATCTCTCCCTCTTTATTTCTTTTTAAATTTTTATATGACATATTTTTAAATAGTCAAAGGCTAAAGGCTCCACTAAATAAAGGGCTCAACAAGTAAAAGGTAGGGCCAGCATTGTGGCATAGCAAGCTAAGCCTCTGGCTGCATCACCAGCATCCCATACGGGCCCCAGTTCAAAACCCACTCAGCTGCTGCACTTCCAATCCAGCCTCTTCTAATGTGTCTGGGAAAGCATCAGAAGATGCCCAAGTGCTTGGGTCCCTGCACCCACATGGAAGACCCAGAAGAAGCTCCTTGCTCCTAGCTTAAGTCTGGCCCAGCCCCAGCTATTGCTGCCATTTGGGGAGAGAACCAGCAAATAGAAGATCTCTCTTTCCTCCTAACTCTGGCTTTCAAATAAATAAGTACAGAAATATATATATCTATATACATATACATATTTTAAAAAGTAAAATGTAAAAAGACCATAGTTCAGTAGGAATATAAGCAAAGGCTATACAGAGTAATCAAATGAAAAGATGTCATTTCACTCATATACATTAAGTTTTAAAAAAATCACAAATCATTAAAATTATAGTAGTATATCATACTTAGTCATTGCTTTGACAAGATACAAAGCAATTTTTTTAATTACACTCTGCCATTTTTTAAAAACAAAGCAATATTTGAAGCTACAGGGCAATCTTGCCTGGTAGAAATTCTTTCTCTCCCGATTGGCACAGACATTATATGTCACTCATATTCTTACACAGTAGTTTGTGCCCTCTGTCCCATTTTCTAAGTGAAGAAACAGAAGTGGAGAATGCAGGTTTCCAGTCCTGGACTCATCATGTATCACCTAATGCCACACTCCCTCCAGAAAACGAACACAATTGCATTCCCATGTGGCCCCAGTGGTAAATCCAGAAGAGATGTACACTGTACAGCTCAGAGTTGACAGCACATGGCTTTGTCCAAGGCAGTGATGCCCACATCCTTAAACGTGGACACTGTGAGAGATGATCTCCAGCCTGCAGCCTGAGAAATGACCTGTCTAGAGAGTGAGACTGGACACTTGATCCTATTAGACTCTTGCTCAGCTGGTGGTTAAATGTAGCTGAGTAAACAAGCACCCTAGTGTGCTGCCACTGAAGGGAGCAAGCCCTCCCGTCCCTCCTGGGTCTACACTTAGGCTAATCTCCTGATGAAAGGACTTGTGATTTAATAGTTCATGTCACTTTACCTTTGCCTACAAATGCTATTTCCACAGGGCTCTGGGAATTTAAAACTGGAAAGCAAGGGCCACTTTGGTCATTCTCTCTCCAGCCAGTGAGGCTCTTTCAGAGAAGATGGTACCCTCCCACACTCATCAAAGGCACTACCCTGGAGAGGAACACAATGAGGGAGAGTGAGGCCTTTTCTATTAGTAGTGGGCTTCCTAGGATAAAGTTAAAGCACAGCAAATGACAGACCACCAAGCAGAGACAGGTACAGAAAACTCTCTGCTCCCCAGAGAGTGGTTTCTAAGCAAAACAAACAACGAAATGGTCCTGTTCCTTCATTTTCTTTTAGCTTTATTTGAGTATTGAATTCTCCCAGAGGGTTTAACCTGAGACCCAGTCGAACACTGAATCTCAGATGTCTGGCTTCAAACAGACCCCAAACTCACATAGGAAGGCCAGGCTTTAAAAGAATGTGTGTAACCTAGAAGTGTCTACAGGCTCTGATGAGAAATTCCTGATTCCGATTCTTCTTAACACCCTCATTCCCTCTGCCATAAAAAGAATTCAGGTTGTGGGGAGAATGCATTCTATACACAAAAGAACAGGACAATACAGTTCCTTAATAGACGATGCTGGGGAGGAGGAAAATGATGCCTAGTTGATTTTTAAAAGATTTATTTTATTTATTTGAAAGACAAAGTTACAGAGAGATGCAGTTTCAGAGAAAGATCCATCCACTGGTTCACTACACAAATGACCATAATGGCCAGAGCTGAGCTGATTCAAAGCTGGGAGCCAGGAGCCTCTTCTGGGTCTCCCATACAGGTGCAGCGGCCCAGGGAACTGGGCCATCTTCTACTACGGCTTTTCCAGGCCACAGCAGAGAGCTGGATCAGAAGTAGAGCAGCTGAGACTCGAACCAGCACCAATGTGGGATGCCAGCACTGCAGGCGGTGGCTTCATCCACAATGCCAGCCCCTTAAATGATTTTCTTAAGACTTCTAAAATCTTTCAGTGGCAACTGCAATGAAGTTAGTATCAACTCTTCTTCTTTGTGTCTAGAAGTATAAGGTAAATTTGAACCCTACATTTGCACAGGCATCCTGCTCCTAAAATGCCTTCTGAGTAGCTGAGAGGCCAGTTCTTCCAAAGACAAGGTCTGAAAGTGTACATTTTGTTAAATCTTGTGGTGTGGTGCCTGGTACCCCAATCAAAGCACAACTGGTCTGATAGGGGAGTAGCCTGCAGAGAACTCAGTAATTTCAAGGGAAGTATCTGAGGAGTTTTAGAGTTTTGAGAACATATGCTGTCCCAACATTATGTTTAATCTTCCCAATATCCCAAGAAGGAAAACTGGATTGTCATTTACAAATGAGAAACCAGCCTCACAAAAAGGAAAAATACATGATATGAGGTCCCACAGGTAAAAAGAAGAGTTAACATTGATAACAATACAGTCCTTGCCAGGGTACATCCCACATTCTTTTTTTTGAAACTTTTATTTAGTAAATATAATTTTCCAAAGTACAGTTTATGGATAATAATGGCTTTTTCCCACCCATAACTTCCCTCCCACCCGCACCCCTCCCATCTCCCGCTCCTTCTCCCATTCCATTCACATCAAGATTCATTTTCAATTCTTTTTATATACAGAAGATCGATTTCGTATATATTAAGTAAAGATTTCATCAGTTCGCACCCACACAGAACATAAAGTGTGAAATACTGTTTGAGTACCAGTTATAGCATTAATTCACATTGGACAACACATGAAGGACAGTGATCCCACATAAGGAGTAAGTACCCAGTGACTCCTGTTGTTGACTTAACAATTTGAGACTCTTGTTTATGGCGTCAGAAATCTCCCTAGGCTCTAGTCATGAGTTTCCAAGGCTATGGAAGCATCGTGAGTTCGCTGACTTCGATCTTATTTAGACAAGGTCATAGTCAAAGTGGAAGTTCTCTCCTCCCTTCAGAGAAAGGTACCTCCTTCTTTCATGGCCCATTCTTTCTACTGTGATCTCACTCGCAGAGACCTTTCATTTCGGGTTTGGGTTTTTTGTTTTTTTTTTTTTTTTTTTGTGCCAGAGTGTCTTGGCTTTCCAAGCCTAAAATACTCTCATGGGCTCTTCAGCCAGATCCAAGTGCCTTAAGGGCTGATTCTGAGGCCAGAGTGCTGTTTAGGACATCTGCCATTCTATGAGTCTGCTGTGTATCCCACTTCCCATGTTGGATCGTTCTCTCCCTTTTTTATTCTATCAGTTAGTATTAGCAGACACTAGTCTTCTTTGTGTGATCCCTTTGATTCTTAGACCTATCAGTGTGATCAATTGTGAATTGAAATTGATCACTTGGACTAGTGAGATGGCATTGGTACAGACCACCCAACTACAAGGAATACAGTCTTCAGTCGTCGTCGTCATCTTCATCTTCATCTTCTTCTTCTTCTTTTTTTTTTTTTTTTGGTAAGCAGAGTTAGACAGTGAGAGAGGGAGACAGAGCGAAAGGTCTTCCTTCAATTGGTTCACCCCCCAAATGTTTGCCAGGGCTGGCGCACTGCAGCAATCCGAAGCCAGAAGCCAGGTGTTTCCTCCTGGTCTCCCATGCGAGTGCAGGGCCCAAGCACTTGGGCCATCCTCCGCTACCCTCCCAGGCCACAGCAGAGAGCTAGACTGGAAGAGGAGCAACTGAGACAGAATTCGGTGCCCCAACCAGGAACCTGGGGTGCTGGCACCGCAGGTGGAGAATTAGCCTATTGAGCCGTGGCACCAGCCAGGAATACAGTCTTAAAAACTGATTAGCTCCGGGCCGGTGCGGTGGCACAATGGGTTAAAGCCCCAGCCTGCAGCACTGGCATCACATATGGGAGCCAGTTTAAGTCCAAGCTGCTCCTCTTCCGATCAGCTCTCTGTTGCGTCCTGGGAAAGAAATAGAAGATGGCTCCACTCCTTGGGCCCCTGCACCAGGGTAGGAGACCCAGAGGAAGCTCCTGGCTCCTCGTTTCGGATTTGTGCAGCTCTGGCCATTAGGGTTGTTTGGGGAGTGAACAAGTGGAATGGAAGACATTTCTCTCCCTCTCTCTGTCTCTCTCTCTGACTCTACCTCTCTCTGTAACTCAAATAAATAATTCTTTCCTGTAAAAAAAAAAGAACTGATTATCCCAACCTCAGCAGTGATTCAGTTACATCATTTTCAAGTTCTGAAGTGATTAACACTCTTGGGTTAGCCCCAGAACGTTAAAAAGAAAAAAAAAATAGATCCTGCACCAAAATCTAAAGGAAACTGTTAGTTTCTATCAGGGCTCTCATCAGCATTAGCAAGACAGTGAACCTGGGCTGTACCATCTGTACCCCCAGGTTCTCCAGCAGTGGAAAGTCATTAATATCCAGTGTGAATGAGGTGTGAAAAGGCAAGAAAAGAGGTGAATGAGAGCATTTGTACCTCTACATAAATGTTTCCAACTGTCAAGGGCTGGAGTCTAGTGATGGCTGTCTGGGTATCATGATGTTCAATAAATTTCAGGCAAAATATCCTTATCCTTTTCTATTTAAGCTTGTATCTGAGCTCTTCCAGTCAAGGGACTGTTTACAGGATTTAACTGGGGAGGGAGATGATTTATGTAAATATCAATGTTGGTGGAGTCTTAAGGGACTTCATCAAATATCTGCAAAACAAATGAAAAGCTGATGCATAGTGTAGTCAGTGAAAACCCAAGGCTTCTATTTGGTGGATAAATGCCCCAAATGTGTGAGTGTTAAGGAGGAAAAGAGACCAGCTGCCTCCAGAGACGGCCAAAGGATGGCAGGGTGTCTGGAGAAAGTGACTGTTCAGGAGTTGTCTTTCCATTGTGCAGCTAATCGCTACTAGGAGAGCGCCAACACAGGCGGAAGAGCTGGGCGGATAAGTTCCCTTGTGAGCGCTTTCAAAGCTGGGCCACTGGTGAGTTTTGGAGGGCTCTGTGCGCCAGGAGTTGAAGGTCCCTCTTGGCTGTGTGGTTCTATGTGTCCGTAATTAAAAAATCTAACATTTCAAGGCCCTTGCAATTACAAAACAATTTCTATCAAAGCAATGTTTTGCAACTTTAAAGTTTCAGATGATAGGTTTGCAAGAGGGAAATTATGTCTATTATCTACTCTGTATCTAGGTGCTTAGCTCTCTCATTTAAGGCTGCAGTTTCCATGGAAACAGCCTGTGGGACAGTGTATGCTTCTGAGAGAGATTTCCTTTGACATCCCCCATTCCTCTAAACATACTTGCAACCAACACTAAGTGTTTAGAATCTTAATTCTCACCACTGATTAATATTCACCAAGATCACTAAGCCCCCCATAGATTAATGAGGGCATTTCATGATGAGACAAGGAACACTTGTCACTCACTCATCCAGTGTGACTGAGTGTTCCCCAGCTGCTGGGCACTGAGCCCAGCTCAGAGAGGAACAAGACAGAGAAGATACAGCTCCTGTCCAGCAGGCACTTGCACTCTACAGACCGTGTGTCTGATGAACAAACACTGAGAAGTGCCAGCCTCACCGGCAATAAAGAACAACAAATGTGCAGAATAATAGAACACCATTCTTCAAGCTGCCAACCTCGGGAACTGTGACAGCAGCCAGTGTTTGTAAGAATAACAAGGAACACTGTGATGGCAGGAGATGTTGGGAAAGCACGTGAATAATCCCCTAAAAACACAAAATCCTTTGATCCAGGTATCCTACTTCTAAAAAATAACTACAAATGTGAAAATATATTATAACAAATGTCCATAGTAATATTTCTTTCAATCATAGAGTGCTGGGAAAATGATTATTCAACAACAGAATAGTTATATTCCATTGAGAGAACTGCATTTAAGCATGAAAATAATATTGATGAAGATATGAACATAAATGGAAAATTCCTTCCTAGGTCAAATTTAAGGAGAACTTGTGTACACAGTTTGACAGTTACCAGGAAAAAAGTTTGCATTTAAAACTGAACATCAACATCTCAAGAGACTAACAGTAGTCCTGTTAGCACAGTAAAATCATGACATAGTTTTCCTTCTACTTGTATTTTCAACTTTAATAAATATATTATCAGTTTTAATTGCTCCACAAAACAAGACCAGGGAGTTTCTGCTGATATAGCTCTTTTTTTCTCTTCTTACTCTTCACACAAAACCCTGAAGAAGATATCAGATTTATAAAACAAAGAAGGTAGATGAAAAATAGACATGAAATTTAAACAATAGAGCCATAGCTTTTTTTCAAAAAGGAATGTAGGATTGACTTTTAAGATGAACTAGTGAAGAATGGTTCAAGATCACTAGCTATGGTCCCCAGGGTCCTGGAACAAGTCAGGATAAATCCAGTAATGAGACTGCATCAAAGAGACTGCTGGATTTTGGATGTGTGTGAGAATATAATAAATACACTCCAAAATGTTAGGTCAGTCTGAACATTTGCCCAGCAGGTCATATGCTACACTTGCCACAATCACCTAAAGGAAAGTTAGGAGTGTTGCTTTTCCTAAGCCCAGCACCAAAGAGAAAGATATAGGATTTCTGCTTCCAATGACTGTTTCCTCGTTTTTAAGGCAAGGTCCCTTCCTTACTGCTCATGTATCATTGTGAGGATTTACTTAGTTACTGATTGTGAAAACACCTTGGAAAATTACATTGTTCATTCTTTTTTGGCACCCCAGAATTCGAACTGTCCTTCTAGGCCTTGGAGATTTACTGAGCAATGAACCTCAGAAATCTCCTTCATCCATAGATACAGAACATGACAGGTACTGGCCTTTGCTGCTTCCCTTGCAGCTAAGATGAAGGCAATGACCTAGCTAGGCTCTGTCACTCAGATGCACCCAGCCAAATTCCAGTTGAACTAGAGCAACAGATTAAAAGATAACAACAGAAGAAAAAATTGGGGAGAAAACTGTCCTCTCTCTGGGCACAGTCTGGCTCCAGGAAAATCAACCACCTGGGCTAACAGAGGTTCTAGTAGCACTGTCAGAACCTCCAGGGTCCCACACTATCAATGTGTCCTTCAGCACAATTTTATGTATGGCATAATTTGCGGTATGTGTTACTCAGCCTGATTCTTTACTTTTTCTAGCAATCATGTAATGCACTAAATATCTTTATTCCCAATTTTTTTATTTTAAAAAGTTTATTGTTGCATTAATTATAACCTAAATATTAGAAATGTCATAAATGTACAACAATAAGAGATTATTAAAGTATAATATGTTCATTCAATAAAATGCGTAGAATATTTGACTTTTTACCTTTTTAATTTTTCTGTTTATATAAGGGGGAAGGTTTCATGTATTTCATATATACAGTTTGAAAAGCATAATGATACTTTCCATGTTATCCTCTTCTTCCTGATTCCTACCCTCCCTCCTTGTTCCTTTCTTATTTATCTTTTAATTTTTACAATGACATATTTTGAATTTACTTTCTAATCACAAGCTTAATCCTCCACTAAATAAAGAATTAAACTGTAAGCAAAAAAAAATTGTTGCTCAAGAGTATAGACAAGGGCAATAAACAATAATTAAATC